ACTTCCAAAGTTACAGTAAAATAAAAAGGACCCTGACTCGGACAATACACAATCCAACATGTTCAACAGAAGAGAATCAGTTATATTGTTTGTACACATGGTACTTTACATATATCTTTTTGTTTAAGGTGTCCAGGTGATGCAGACAGGCTGGACCAGAGAGTGAGACAGAACTGGACTCCTCACATCAGTGAACTTCAGCACAGGTACAAAGACTCTATTTTTCATACTGTACAAAGAATCAAGAAAGATATTTGTTTAAATGAATGAAGTATTGACTTGAATACACTGATATACATTCCATTAAACAATACTAAATACTAGATCACCTACACATCAGTTAAGTTGAGGGGTTTTTCCATGCAAAAGGTTACATTTAGATGTTAACAAGCAATATGATTGTGTGAAAATGAGACCTTGTGTCTCAATGAGATCTACACCTGTATAAATAAAGGCTAAAGAAATATGGTTTTGTCAGCTTTCTAATTTAATGTATTGAAGGCAAAGATATTTAACACATAGTGAGAACTGCTACTATTTATCTCTCAATATTGTCTGTAAAAACGTGGTAAAAGTTATTCTTTCAGTGAGACAACAGAGCAAGCTTCTACAGTTGCACTACGTTTTGATAACAGTTAAATATTATTTTGATAATAACATATATTTCAATGTTGATGAGCTTCATACTGTTCATTTATAATCTGATCGTCTTTGTAGCTCACTGTTGAAATAAAAAAAATCATTACAATTACAAAATAATTATATCTACAGCCCCTAAACACACAAACACACCGCTTTCATAAATAACACACTTGTTCTGCAATAATATGTTTTATGTTTCCTGTCATTTTTGTTAGGAAAGGACATGCCTGAAAGACACAACATGTTCTCCTTCTCTGAGGGTCAAGAAGAACATCCAAGAGGAACATTAAAAGCTGATGTTATGAGATTTTAAGACCAGTACAGGACATTCACTAAGAAACTACTTTTATTGTGAAAACAGTCAGCTGATCGAATGCACCTATTTCCACATCTACACTCCATCAGCTGATTATTTCTATTTGCCTCACTTTATGAGCTTCACATCGCTTGTGCCTTGTACCGCAGAGTTTGCAATGTCACAAATAAATGGGGCCAATCTTCAGTCAGATGTGAATGTGTAATCTAACATTTTCAGTAAGAATAATGGACAAAAGGAGTGCAAATACAAATACAATTTATTGAAATGTGAACCAAAAGTTCATCAAACATGTTTTAAATAAAAAGCACATATGGACAGAAGGTGTAAACCTATTAAATGTATAAGTAAACACATTTAGTCAAATAAAGTGACAGACTAGGCCTGTGCAGTTGGTATCGGCTGTGCCCAGCATGGGCTCCTTCATCAGCCCTGGTCCTCCTCGCTGAGGAAAGACCCTCAGTCCTCTCCAAACCAACAGACAGGACGTCCATCACACGGAGGTTTCTCCCTGAAGTCTCTGCAGCCCTCTGGACACCATGCTGTCTCAATCCGTCCACACTGAATATGAGAGGGGGGAAATGAAAATAATAAATGCTTTAGACAATAAGAAACATAAAGTTGACTGTTGAGTTGCTCAGTTTTTTTAGATTGTCAATACTATTACTGTATAACTAATATCTCAGGTTAAGAGGCACATTCAAATACAGATTGGTCTTTAAATACATTTTGTCTTTTGAATTGTTTGTCTAAAGTCAAGGATCTAGAACTAGTACTTAGTTTTAATGATAGAGTCTGGTTATTATGCTGTTTGGAGGAGGCCTCACAGGTAAGAGCGCAAACTAGCTACCATCACATGTACCTTAGCTTGACTTAAATGTATTAAACGTGTAATTAAGTGATATCAAAATATAAATAACTAATGTCATGCAAACATATTAATATTTGCTTGATTCCAGTGTTGAATTTAGCACAATTGCATACAAACGTGAAGGGGTTTTAAGATTCTGAAGTATTATGCTAAAAACTCAATAACTTCGATTATTATTTATAGTTTTGCTGAATAGTTTCATGTCCGCTTACCTTAGAAACGTAAAATGCGACGGCAGTGTGCAGATGGGGAGCATGTTAGCTTAGCTTGGTAGCTTCAGCTAGCTCTGGAACTTCCAGCTCGGTGGCAGCAGGTACTGCCTCGGCTCCGCCTCTTTGCCCTTATTTGGAGCAGGCTGGAACAGGCGGGAGTTGAACTCTGACGTTGCTGTCGAGCCGTTAGTGGCCGACTCCGCCTACCAAGGGCTTCTCGGCAACTCTGCAGAATCCTATGGGTGACGTCACGGACCCTACGTCCATTTATATATACAGTCTATGGTCAGCACTCACAGAGATGTAATATTTGAAAACATTTTTGTTTTTTTCAAAGACCCCCTTGGCGAGCACTTGGGGGCAGCACAACAATCTGAAAATACAACATTGACATATTATCACCTTATACACCAGATATGGCTGATGTGTGTGTTCTTAAATTAAATCACCTGTGTAATGTCAGTCCAACAATGACTCTCTTCTGAACTTTAAAATTGAAAAATAATAGTATACGTAAATGAAGCATGTGACTGAAAATAATTTAAAAATAGCGGTGAATCGTCAGATCTGTAACATTACTAATGCTCTAACACTACAGCACTCTTTGGCCAGAGTCATTTCATTGCACTCTCTTCTTATGCAATGGTTTAATTGCATGAAAACTGAATCATATTTGTAGTTACTTTTACATTTTTAGCGTTATATTTTGATAGAATAGGTTTTTCCTTGTTGTGAAGAAAGCAAATTCCACTTACTCCAGTCATTTAAACAAGCCCGATTATGCTTTTTGGGGTTTTACTGTAGTTTTTTGTGCATGTTAATCTGCAAAGGCTAAAATCCCAAAGTTCTCTCCCACACTCCTCTCCTGCCCTAAACACCTCAAATTGACTCCTTTGTTTACTTGCATAACGTAATGACATTTGTAAAACGTGCACTTCTATTGGCTAGCACTCCAATACATTGTATGTGATAGGTTAGGGGCGGGACATCACTAAGCGGTTGACCAATAGCCACAGAGCCAACCAGCTAACCAATCAGAGCAGACTGGGCTCTAGTTTCAGACAGAGGGTGAAAAGAGGTGCTGCAGCACAGGCAGTACAAGATTAATATAGCATGTCACAGTAGAGACACAACATACAAATATGAACCTGAAAATGAGCAACATTTGCCGTCATTAAGTGAGGTGAGGTAAAAGATTATTTGAAGTTCAGGAGATTCATTGAATATGAATAATGAATCATAGTTATTACTAAAGTTGGGAAGCATGTTTTACTTTTTTATTATTTAATTAAGTAATTAATTTCCATCTGTCTCTTGGAAGCCCACAACTTTATGGAAGTGCAATATTTGAATCATTGGAATACCCCTTTAATATTTCTACAGCGCAAAAAAACAACATACAAATCCAACTCAGCCCTGTGAAGTTTTCACACTTTAACATCAAAGCAGTCCATATATTTCTATTTAGTTTTAGGACGTTCCCCATACTCGTGCATTGAAATTGCCTCTAAAAATTCAATTTTGCTTGCTCTCTGTCTCACTCAGTGTCTCTCTTTGTCTCTCCCTCCTCCCCCCTGATGCAAAAATCCATACTGTTGTAAATGAAGCTGTGAGGATCGATGCTGCAGGCAGGGTAATGTCGGAGCGCTGCCACAAGTGTATTGCTACAATGATCTAGTGGTTAAAAACACATTCACAAACAGAGAGGGGAAGATAGATCTGAGCCAGCAGCACGCCCACATTGCTCTCGCTGGAGACATCATCAAATTAAACAACAACTATGATGTGTTTCTGCTTTGTGCCCCCGCTACCACACCACCATTTTGTCTCCACACACACACACACACACACACACACACACACACACACACACACACACACATCCACACACACACACACACACACACACACACACACACACACACACACACACACACACACACACACACACACACACACACACACACACACACTTTGTTTTCTCTTCTGCTATTGACAGGAACCTCCGGTGGGGTAGAATTATAATGGAATACATGACATGATTTGTTTCGAGTTCAGAATGAAGGCCAATTAGTTTAACAAGTACGAGACAAATCTTGTTTGACAAAAGTTTATGTCAGGGCATGTGAAACTTATCCACTGGGAGATTTGTTGCACACACACAGACACTGACACACACCATAAAACTAGGAATAGGCTCTTGGGGTCCAGGGTTTTCTACAGGAACCCATCCTTTTATAACATTCAGGAGCAAACCCCAAAGTAATTTTACAGTGTGGTAATTCTGTAACTATTTAAATTGCCCTTCCCCATTGGACTTGAATATGACTGCACTGTTCAGAATCAGAAACCTTTATTAGTCCCACGGAGGGGAAATGTGCGTAGTTACAGCAGGAAAAAGAGCCACAGACAGCTTAATGTTACATATGTTAAATATGTGACATGCATTACAAATAAAAAAATAAAAAGTAAACTGATATAATACAAAATATAATAAAAAATTAAAAGTTATATAATTTAAAAAAATATACATCCTGTAACAGTTCTTAGGATTTAGCAGCTAGGTATATATTACACAGTTATTAACGGCATCTATATATTGCACATATTGCACATAGTTTGTTGGTATTTAGCAGCAAGGGGTGATATAGTCTGTGTTGTGGTGTGTGTGGGGGGGATCAACTAGGGGCTGTTCTGGTTGTATATTCTGTCCGCTGCAGGAAGGAAAGACCTGTGGTACAGGGGCGGATCTACCGGGGTGGCATGGGGTGGCAGCTGCCACCCTAAAACACATCCTTGCCACCCCAGCTGCCACCCCAGTTGGCAGCTTTGTTTTGAAATAAAAGTTGTGGCTCATCGGACATTTATGAGAAAACATCTCTAATGTCCGAGTGCAAGTGAATGCACCACAAGACAGTTACCCCCCTCCCTGGCGCGAGCTGAAATGTGATTGGCGGCGATTTAATTTTGAACGGGACAGAACAAATAGAGAAGCATTCGGTGAAGTAGACGGAAGGAATGAGGTAAGACTGATCAACTACGTCTCCTGTGAAATAAGTGTAGAACAAAGCTAATGTTTTCCAGTTACAGAAAAGAGAGAAGTTAGATATGTCCATGTGAATCATAACGTTAATGCTGATATCGAAACAATACAAATCCGGTTGAGTAACGTTATTATCAGTAACTCTTTACTTACTGTACAGTGTGCGTAGAACGTTAGCTAGGTTTTTGTTTAAAAAAATGTCATGCATGAAATATTTTTATATTATCAATCATTTAGCAAGATGTACGACCTGATCAAGGCTAAACGATTCTGCTCTTCAATAATAACTTTTAATCTTATTTCAGGAATCTGTTTGGATTGCAAGCAAAGATTGGGCCACAAGCTAGAGTTTGAACCACACAGTAAGTGGGAAAACAACAAGCATTTGCTCAAACAGCATTTTAATTTGAACACCATTATTAATAATGATTACTGGTAATATAAAAGAAAATAACGTAATAAATGGACTTTGAATCTTATAGAAATGAAGAGGAAACGTGGCATTGCAAGTTTTTTCTCACCAAAAAGGATAGAAAGTGAGGCTGAGCAACAGGGAAGTGACAAGGTAAATGACCAGGGACATGAGGAGGTGGAAGGAGATGAAGAACAGCAACAGGAAAGTGTCAGTGATGAGATAGAAGGCAAAGATGAACAGGGACAGGAGGAGGAAGGAGAACACAACAGAGAAGAAGAGACGGAAGAGGGAGAGGATCACATAGACAAGGTGCAAGAGGGAGAGAGCGAGAGACAACAAGACGGCATGCAGAGCTCAGACAGTGAGGGGGAAAGGAATATTCCTAAGCCCTTGCAACCAACGGCCAGTTGAGTTGGTCCACATGGTATGAACATTGTTAATACAAAGTATAATGCATCTGAATAAGATGCAAAAATCACACAAAAGGACATTTTGCAAAACAGTTTATTTAAGAGACAGGGCTAGCCTCAGTCTAATAAATATATTATTAATTCAAAAAAATTATGTTTGCTTTCCTTAGATAGTTTTGAGTATGAGGAAAAGGGTAGATTGTGAGTATTTTGTGTACAATGTATTTTAGACCTATTATAGCAGCTGAGGTTGAAATTCAAAAATTACCCAAAACAATACACACCCAGGCCAAAATGTTGTGCTGCACGCATTAACACAGCCAGTAGGTTAAACACATATTGAATAAATGACGGCTCCAAACTGTGTTATAATTAGTTGATTATAATGTGTAATCAGTTAAGCTCTATTACAGTTTGAATATGTTTTACTCCCATTTTCTAGACATATCCAAGTCCAGGTGTGGGGAGCCAGCTCAGCCGACACGGGAGAGTTTCCCCAAGACCCTTCAGGGAGGAGCCAGAAGAAGCTTCAGAACGGACGGGTACAAAACTCATTCATGGCTTGAGTACTCACAGTCCAATGATTCAGCGTATTGTTTCCCCTGTAGACATTTCTCTTTACCTGATGCCCCCAAGACCGTTTTCACCTCAATTGACGGGTATCGTAACTGGAAAAAGGCCACAATGAAAGACAGTGGTTTCTGTTCTCATGCCCGATCTGAAAGCCATGTAAATACAATGTTTGCATGGGGAGAAAACAAGAAACTAAACAAAAAATGCAACATACACCAGTAAAACTATCCAAAACGAGATACTGGAATGTTTGGCTGCAATGGTTAAGGAAGAAATAATTCAAGAGGTTAAAAAGAGCAGGCAGTTTGCAGTTATTGTAGACAAAACTAAAGATCTTCAGAAAAAAGAGCAAATTTCATTTGTTCTGAGATACTATTACAATGGTGTTGTTCACGAGAGCTTTCTGGAGTTTGATGTGGCAGAAGGCCTGGATGCTGCTGCGTTAAGTGGTAAGATTATTTGTTTTCTTGAGAAACATGGGCTGGAGTATAAAGAAAACCTTGTCGGTTAGGGCTACGATGGCGCTGCAGTGATGAGCGGGGCACATGCTGGTGTTCAAGCGAAAATAAAAGAAGTAGCCAAAAATGCTTTCTATGTGCATTGCAGTGCACACTGCCTAAACTTAGTCATAGTAGACTCTGTCAAAAGTGTAACAGATGCGGGAAACTTCTTCTCATTGATGGAATGATTGTTTGTGTTCATATCTGGGTCTTATGTACACAACAAATGGCTGGAAGTGCAGCGGGAGATGTTTGACGGTGCACCAAGGGAACTCCAAAGGCTTAGTGATACACGTTGGGCCTGCAGACATGTAGCATGTCGCAATGTTATGGAACCTGCAATAGTACAGCTGCTTGAAGAGATTTCCTCTGAGAACCATCCACATAGAGCTGTTGAAGCCAGGGGGATATTGGTTCAGATTGATCTGAATTTTGTTGGATGCCTTGTACTGTTCCGAAAGGTCTTGAGTGACTCTAAATTTTTGTCAGATATGCTCCAGTCCAAAATATTGGACTTGGCTAAGGCCGTGGAACTAGTTGAAGCACTTAAAGTGACACTGGTACAATATCGCAGTGAAGCCTCCTTTGATGAAGTGTGGAGTGAAGCACTTGTTTTATGTGAAAGAAGTAGCATTGAAACAACTCAGCGAAAGCCAAAGAGGTCAAGACAGACAACAAGGACCCTTCAAGATAGTGTCATCCCTTCCACTTTGGGACAGCATGTAGTTCCAGATGGCAAACACTCTTTTTGCGTCAATGTGTACTATCCAGTTATGGATAACATGATTGGAGAAATAGAAAGACGCTTTTCTCACACAAATTGCAACATAAAGCAAGGTATCCAGGCACTAAATCCATCAAGTGCTACTTTTTTGAGTGAGGAGGCTATTCTTTTATTGGCTAATGCCTATGATTCTAATATTGAGGATCTTAAACACGAATTACATCAGACGAGGAGAGTACTAGAAAGAAAGAATAAGGAAAATGGGAGTCCTACCACTCTGATGGAGTTTGCTCAATTTTGACCCATACAAGGATGTTTTTTACGAGTTGTCCAGATTGTGTAAAATAGCAGTAGTTTTACCGGTGAGCAGTGCATCCTGTGAAAGAAGTTTTTCAACTCTTAGGATCATTAAGAGTTATTTGAGGTCTACAATGACAGAAGTTTGGCTGTCTACAATGACAGAAGTTTGGCTGTACTCAGCATTGAATCCAAACGCAGTAAAGCTTTGGATCTCAATAAGTTTGTGAGGCGTTTTGCTGAACAACATGGAAATCGCCGCATTCAGCTGTTATAGCCAACTTGATGCTCTGCTCACGAATGACTCGATGAGCATAGAAAACTGTTAACTTGATAAACTTGTGTTAAGGGAAATGTGTACATTTGTCCTCAGTTGTTAAATATATATATATATATATATATTCTGTACTCAAGCTCACAAAGGGATGTAAAAGGGATGTCATGTTATTATTGTACCACTGTGAGGCAATAGGTGTTGTAATTCTAAGTTAGCTCGGCTGAGGGAAAGGATGCACCTGCAGTGCAGAGTAAAATAAACCATGCCTAAGGACTTAACAGTTCATCGTCTCTGTCTCAACTATTTCTCTCCGAGTGCAACGTATGAGGAAGCTGCCATCCTTAACCTCTTTGTGGGGGTCTAACATTGATTGTTAACATTGATTGATATGACTGCGATTAAATCAGCATATACTTCTGCCACCCCTCAAAATCTCCTGCCACCCTCTTGCCACCCCATGAATATTTTTCTAGATCCGCCCCTGCTGTGGTATCTCTCCGTGAGACAGCGGGGGTGCAGCAGCCTATCGCTGAAGGAGCTACACAGTGAGGACAGGGTCTCCTGGAGGGGGTGGGACATATTGTCAAGCAGAGAGGACCATTCTCCTGTCTCCCACCACCTCCACAGTGTCCATAGGACTCCCCAGGACAGAGCTGGCCTTCCTTACCAGTCTGTTCAGTCTCTTCCTGTCAGCAGCCGAGATGCTGCTGCCCCAGCAGGCCACACCATAGAAAATGGCTGATGCCACAACAGAGTCAAAGAAGGTCTGAAGGAGTGCCCCCCGCACCCCGAAAGACCTCAGTCTCCTCAGCAGAAAGAGTCTGCTCTGTCCCTTCTTGTACAGAGCAGCAGAAGTATCAGTCCAGTCCAGTTTATTGTTCAGATGAACACCCAGGTATTTGTAAGATTTCACAATCTCAATGTCCACTCCCTGGATGTTCACTGGTGTCGAGGGGGGAGTGTTGGCGCCGTCTGAAATCCACCACCAGCTCCTTGGTCTTCGCTGCGTTCAGCTGGAGGTGGTTCCTCTGGCACCAGAGGGTGAAGTCCTGCGTCAGCTCCCTGTACTCCCTGTCGTCCTCGTTGGAGATGAGGCCAACGATGGCGGAGTCGTCCGAGAACTTCTGCAGGTGACAGGTTGCAGTGTTGTGGGTGAAGTCTGCAGTGTAGAGGGTGAAGAGAAACGGTGCCGGCACCGTCCCCTGGGGGGCCCCCCGTACTGCTGACGATGGTGTCTGATTGACACTCCCTGGCCCTCACGTACTGTGGATGGTTGGTGAGGTAGTAGAAGAAAGAGGGGCTGATGTGAGAGATGTCTGTGAGCTGATGTCCGGGGGCTGAGTAGAGGTGGGAGAGGTGACAGGGCCATTTCCAGGCAGTGGGGACAATGGGGGGTGCAGCATGGGGGAATGGGTCGGGGGGAGGGCGCACGACTGATCTAATCTGTTGAAGAAGATATTGAAGTCGCTGGCCCACTGACGGTCCCCACGGACCTGGGAGTCTGGCTCTTTGTAGCCAGAGATGGATTTCAGGCCTCTCCAGACTCTGCTGACGTTCCTCTGCTGCAGCTGTTCCTCCATCCTCTTCCTGTAGCTGTTTTTCCACTCTCTGATTTTCCACCTCAGCTCCCTCTGCACAGTCTTCAGATCCTCTCTGTTGCCAGATCTGAAGGCCCTCTTTTTGTCTTTCAGGAGAGCCTATATGTCAGGGGTAATCCAGGGTTTATTGTTGGGAAATGACGTTTTCCTCACAGAAGTTAATATAGACCGTGATGCAATCTGTAAGGCCGTTGATGTCCTCCCCGTGAGAGTCAGTGAACACATCCCACGCAGTAGTGTCAAAACAGTCTTTCAGGGCCTCCTCAGACTCCTCAGACCACTTCTTCACGGTGCGTGTGGGCACCGGCTGTCTGTGGACCAGAGGTTGGTCCACAGGCTGGAGGTGAACCAGGTTGTGATCAGAATTGCCCAGGGGAGGAAGGGGGGATGAGCTGTATGCATCCTTGGTGTTGGCATACAGTAAGTCCAGTGTTTTATTGCCTCTGGTGGTGCAGGTAACATATTGTTTGAAAGTGGGCCGAGTTTTTGAGAGAGAGGCATGATTGAAGTCTCCAGAGATCAGGAGAAGAGCATTTGGGTGCTGTGTCTGCAGTCTGCTGACAGTAGAGCTGATGACATCACATGCCTCTTCAGCGTTGGCAGAGGGTGGAATATATGCAGCTATCACGAAAACATGCGTGAATTCCCCAGGTAAATAGTGGGGCCTCATGCTAACAGCTATGTCCCTGTTGCAGATTCGTTCTTTAATAGTGATGTGCCCTGGATTACACCATCTATCGTTCACAGCCAGCCCTCCTCCTTTCCTCTTACCATGCTCTCTCGTCCTATCCGCCCAGCAGATGAAAACCATCCAGTGTAGCGTTAGTGTTACATTGTTATCAAGTACAAAGCACCAGGATCATTGTTGCCATTTCTAAGTATGTCCTTGGATGGCCTCCAAGAAAAGACTTGGGATGATCTTTTGTTCTTTATCTTTCAGCCGAACTTCTTCCTTCTCAATGACTTTTTCCCCTCCCTCTTTTCTTATTTCCCGTGGGATTAACGTCACTCTACCTCTGTTTCCGTGTTGCCACAGCAGCCCTCTGGATTACAGAGACTCCTCATCTCTACAGCAAACAACACACAGATGCTCACACACAAACATACATCTGTCATGGGTAATCTTCAGAGGGCGACCCCTTTCAATCCTGCATAGGAACAATTTATTTACCGGCACGATCACGATATTTGGCTTCGTGTTAATTTTAGGTTAGTTTGTGGGGATAATGTATCTATTAATTTTGTCTAGACAAAACAACAGGAGCGTTGGGTCTTTATATAGTAAAGCCAGTGTTCTAAGGGTCAAGATGTTGCCCCTGTGCACAGTCTGTGTCCTGGGCAGATTACATCCATCATCCCTGCTCACATCAGCTTTGATAAAAACAACACACAAACGCAGCTACTCTCTCCTTGCGAGCTGTGCCGATGAAATGCAATCGAAACATATAACCACTGCTGAGAGAAACAAAGTGTCTTCTTTTTTCAGTCATTGCCACTGCTTGTGAAGTTAAACAGCAGGTAGACCAGCGGGGAATGCGTCCGTGAACAAACTTTATCACAGCGCCTAGTGTTCGCTAACATCCTGGGCATTACGAACACAAGACTTTGACTCGAGCCATAGTCTGATCCTTGTCTCAAATCCACTGAGCAGCAGAGTCAACAGGCGATGGCAGCGCAGATAGCAAACTATGTGGAGTGTCAACAGGCCGCTCGGCTCCGGATAAAAGCTCTGTTTGTTTGGCGAGCCTGATCCTTTCTCTATTCTTCTGGTCTTGGACTTTCTCCGA